GACAGGATGCTGGACTAGATGGACCCTCGCTGGTCTGATCCGGCAGGGCTCTTCTGATGTTCTAATGAAGGCCTCGGCCTCTGTGCCCTGTTGGTGGCCCTCCAGAGGAACTGGTTGGCCCCTGTGGGAGACGGGATGCTGGACTAGATGGACCACTGGTCTGATCCAGCAGGGCTCTTCTGATGTTCTTATGAAGGCCTCGGCCTCTCTGCCCTGTTGTTGGCCCTCCAGAGGAACTGGTTGGCCCCTGTGTGAGGCAGGATGCTGGACTAGATGGACCTCTGGTTTGATCCAGCAGGGCTTTTATGACGTTCTCACCAGATCTTGGAAGCTAAGTAGAGTTAGTCCTGGGAGGGGAGGCCGCCCAGGAAGCCCAGGGTCACTCTGCAGAGGCAGGCAATGGCAAACCACCTCTGAACATCTGTTGCCTTGAAAGCCCCACGAGGGGTCACGTCACCTGCAGTCCGATCCACCGCCTGAGCACTGGACCTGGGACCTTCTGCATGCCAAGCGGATGCTCTTCCCACTGAGCCACAGCACCTCCCCAAGTGGCTTACCGTAACTTGGCTGCAACTCATTGGGGGAGAAATACACACAGGGACTGAGGTCACACACACACTCAATAATCCACTTCCAACACACTTTCCCACTGGATCTTGCCAGTTCACACAGTAAAGCCCAGTTGCAGAGTGCACTGAAAGTGGATTGAAAGTGGGATTCTTTAGCCGGAAATGTAAGAATAAGACTGGTTCATTTTATCATATGTGGTGGCTATGTGATGTTACAAAAAGGTTCTGGAGGTGGGTACATGAGATAACGCAAAAAATAATAAGAGCGAAGGTCCCATTTACTCCAGAGGTATTGTTATTAGAACGGAGAAAAGGAAGTCCTCCTTCACCCAAAGAGTGATTAACACTTGGAATTCACTGCCACAGGAAGTGGTGGCGGCTACAAGCATGGACGGCTTCAAAAGGGAATTAGATAAGCATATGGAGCAGAGGTCCATCAGTGGCTATTAGCCACAAGGTATAGATAGGGACTCTGGGGCAAGTCAGGCTCTGTCTTCTTGGTGCTTGGGGGGGGGGTCAACAGTGGGAGGGCTTCTAGTGTCCTGGCCCCACTGGTGGACCTCCTGATGGCCCCTGGTATTTCTGGCCACTGTGTGACACAGAGTGTTGGACTGGATGGGCCTTTGGCCTGATCCAACATTGGCATCTCTTATGTTCTTATTTCCGAAAGACTTTGTTTGATTGTTCACTTGTCGACAGCTGCAAGGATTTTATATGCTAAATATTGGAAAACAATGGAGACTCCAACGAAACAAGAATATGTGAACAAGCTGTTTGAAAGGGCTGGAAATGATAAATTGACATTGGAGATGAGAGCTGGAAAAGAATGGACTTTTCAAAAAACTTGGAAGAGATTTTATGACTGGTATAATATAAGCGCAATAACTTGTTGGAAATTTGAGTACGCAGAAAAGATAAGCTAGTAAAATAGACGATGAGATTAGAAATGTAACAAATAGATAACTGAAGAACAGAAAACGGAATAAGCCTCCTGTAATATGTTTTATTATTATAAGGAGCTGCGGCGGCTCAAGTGGTTAAGACGCTGAACTGCAGGCTGTGGAAGGTCGGTAGTTCAGCAGTTCGAGACCCGAGTGTGCCGCATGACGGAGTGAGCTCCCGTCTCTAGTTCCAGCTCCTGCCAACCTAGCAGTTCAAAAGCAAGAAATTGCAAGTCGATAAATAGGTACCACTTCGGTGGGAAGGGAACAGCGTTCCGTGCGCCTTGGCGTTTAGTCATGCCGGCCACATGACCACGGAAACATCTTTGGACAGCGCTGGCTCTTCGGCTTGGAAACGGAGATGAGCACCGCAACCCTAGAGTCGGACTCGACTGGCTTTCGAGCAAGGGAACCTTTACCTTTACCTAATATGTTTTATGTTTGTTAGTGATAGTTATGTGTTTCTTTTTTATGTATGTCTGTAGTGTATAATGAAAAAATAATAAAAGTGTACCTTCGGGTACTTAAAAAAAAAAAAGTGGATTCTTTAGCCCATGTGTGACCGCAGCCACACCTTCATCCTAAGATGAGCAGAGAACGGGAAACTCAACAGAAAACGGCTGCCCGTTTCCTCCCCCTGCTCTGCCAAGAATGCAAAGGAGAAAGCCGAGGAGCCCGGGAGAGGTGCCAAGGTGGAACCAGAGACAGGCCCGAGAGAGGAAGACGTCTGAGCCTGCACTGAGCCTCCTGGGGAAAGGAGAGAGACACCCCAAAAGCTCAAACGTGATCTGTTCGGGCATCCTCAGCCTCTCAGGGCAAGAGCTGGCCAAAAGGGGGGGATGCTGGTTTGTGCAGCTGTCGGAAAACATACGCCATCGCTTGGATTCAGAGCTGACATTCCTCAGAGGGAAGCGGATTCCGGAGCCCGGAAAGAAAGACCCAATGCCATCCCAGGGGCCAGATCACTCGCAAAGCTCTCCTGCCCGACGAGAACAGTCAGTAACATAACAGGTAGGTTCTGACAAGCACACGCCTCGCCGTCCTGGGGGCCACGATGCCAGTTCCGCAGGAAGGCAGTTTGGCTAGGCGCCGTCAGGTGACACCCGAGTGACATCATACTTTCCCCGAGCCAGCCACTCAGAAAGCGGGATGGTTGCCAGGGTCAGGCGTGAGCAGAGTTTTGCAAAATGCGGCCCTGGCTGGAAAACCCAGGTTGTCGGGAACCTGGTTTTTTTAGTTCTTATGGTTGTCGACGATACGCTTGAAAGTGCACAGACAACAGAAGAGGAAATCTTATAAGCATTTGCCTTTTTAGCTGATGTATCACACTTCGTGTTCAGTGTATGGTCTATGAAGACCCCGAGATCCTTTTCGCACATACTACTGCCAAGACAAGTCTCCCCCATCCTATAATTATGCATTTGATTTTTTCCTACCTAAATGCAGAACTTTACATTGATCCCCACTGAAATTCATTTTATTTGTTTTAGCCCAGTTTTCCAGCCTGTCAAGATCATCCTGTATCTTGATTCCGTCTTCTACCGTATTTACTACCCCTCCAAATTTAGTATCATCTGCAAATTTAATAACCATTCCCTCTATTCCTTCATCCAAATAACTGATAAAGATGTTGAACAAAACAGGTCCCAGGACAGCTCCTTGAGACACTCCACTTGACGCTCCTCTCCAAGAGAATGAGGAACCATTCACAAGCACTCTTTGTGTGTGATCTGTCAACCAGTTACAGATCCAAACCACATTTTTTCCAACCTGTCAACATGAATATTATGCGGAACCTGATCAAAAGCCTTACTGAAATTAAGATAAACTATGTCTACAGCATTCCCCTGATCCAGCAAGTTAGTAACATTCTCAAAAAAAAAAAAAGAGATAAGGTTAGTCTGATATGACTTGTTCTTGAGAAACACATGCTCGCTCTTAGTAATCACAGCTCAAGGACTGTTTTTCTTTTTTTAAAGGCTACAGCCCTTTTCGTTGCAGGGATAGAAGGGAAACTGTCTAGCCCTTTTTTGTGCAGAGGTTGAAGGGGTTTCCCTTCTATCTCTGCAACGAAAAGGGCTAGACAATTTTTTGCGAACGTCAGGATTTCAGAAGAACAAGTAGATCTCGGCAACAGACCATTACAATGTTATTTATCTACTGCAGGGGACCCCAACGTGATGCCTGGGGGCGCGATGGTCCCCACCTCTGCCTCTACGTGGCACCTTTAAGACCAACCGACTTACACCACCCCGCAGAGTTGTTACGGCAAGAGACGTCCAGAGGTGATTCTGCCACCGCCCGCCTCAGCATTGTGACCCTGGTATTCCTTAGTGGTCTCCCATCCAAGAACTAACCAGGGCCGACCCTGCTGACAAAACCAGGCTAGTCTGGGCCATTCAGGTCAGGGCGGACAAACAGAGGTGGGTTTGCCCTTGCCTGCCTCTGCGTAGCAACCCTGGGATTCCTTGGTGGCCTCCTATCCAGGGGTCATTTCCTGCGGGAGCGCACAGGAGCAGAGCTCCAGCAGTAAGGAGCCCAGGAGGTGGGCACATGCAACAAGCCCCGCCCCCTGCTCCCAGCAGCCCTCTGTCGGGCCACGAGGAGCAAGAAGCAGCCCGGTAAGTTGCAGAGACACACACCCCCCGGCCCGCCTTCAGGTACAAGCTCTCCCTCCTTTGTGAGGGCAAATCTGTGTGTCCCCCCCCCCAATAGCTAGCAATCCAAAACAGTCCAGTGGAGCCTGAGCGGTGGGTGTTGCCTTCTGACACCCTTCTGGTGATGTCCGGGGGTGTGGCGTATGCAAATAAGTTATGCTAATGAGTTATGCTAATGAGCGCCTGCACCTCTTTTTCCATGGAATGAATCGATCCCTCTCATATTTGCGTGAGACCACCCTTTCGGTGTAAAGGTCATTTTAAAAACAAAGGTCATTTTAAAAACAAAAGGTGAGACACGAAAAGGTGAGAGCCAGTTTGGCGTAGTGGTTAAGTGCGTGGACTGTAATCTGGGAGAACCGGGTTTGATTCCCCACTCTTCCACTTAGAATCATAGAATGTGAGAGTTGGAAGGGACCTTGAAGGTCATCTAGTCCAACCCCCTACACTCTGCAGGAGCACAGCCGAAAGATAGCCCTGCATACCTACAACATACCCGAAAGATGGTCGTCCAGCCCCCGCTTGAAAACTTGCACCTGGCTGGATGACCTTGGGCAAGCCGTAGTTCTGATAAGAGCTGTTCTTGAAAAAGAGCAGTATCTGTCAGAGCTCTCTCGGCCCCACCTACCTCACAGGGCGTCTGTTGTGGGGAGGGGAAGGGTATAAGCCGCTCTGAGACACCTTTGGGTAGTAAAGGGCGGGGTATAAATCCAATCTCCTCCTCCTCCTCTTCTTCCTTTTCACCGATCTGCTTGATTAAGGGGGGGGGGGGGGGACCAAACTGGTACGCAAGGCCTGGTCTTCTGCTAACTGGGAAACTCGAAAGAGTTTACCTTGAGCATCCGGATCTCCCGAAGAGCGATTTTCTTAATAACGGGGTCGTCTTCGGACTCCAAGAACTTTTTGATGGCCACGATCTGGCCCGTGTCCTTGTTCCTGCATTTGAACACGACCCCGTAGGAGCCTTCCCCGATCTTGCTGATCTTCTCGTATTTCTCCATCGCAAGCAGAGACGACCCCCCCCCCCGCGATAACGTCCAGAGCCGAAGTGAAGCCTGATCGTTACAACATCCAGGAGTGGGGCAGGGAAGAACAGAGTCCTTCAGAAGGTGTGGAACAAAAAGAATCCCTGCCCCATTTCACCACACCTGGAGGGAGGGAATCAAAAGTACAAGTTACACTGGGTAGCCGCAGAACCTTGGAAATCAAACGTGACGGTTTACAAACACATGCAGCTGCCTTCTACTGAATCAGACCTCCTTGGTCCATCAAGATCAGTATTGCCTACTCAGACTGGCAGCGGCTCTCCAGGGTCTCAGGCAGAGGTCTTTCCCATCACCTCCTGCCCAATGCTCCCTCTAAGCTGTGGAGTCTTGTGAGCAAGAATTCTACTTGGTGAGCTCCTGGGATTAAAGTTGTGAGCCAGCGATTTGGCTACTGCATCAATTAGTTTGCTCTGGAGCCGTCCCTTCCTGAGCTGAGACAAAAATGTGGGAGCTGGAAGCTCAAAAACTGTGTGCTAGCTCACACTGACTCAGTTTAGAGGGAACACTGCCTACCGCCTGGTCCTTTTTAACTGGAGATGCCGGGGATTGAACTTGGGACCTTCTGCATGCCAAGCGGAGGCTGACCCGCAGCCCCTCTCCTAACGATGGTGCTCATTAAAAGCTTGATTATCGTTTTCCACGCACAACACAAAGGAGTTGCCTTCTTCATCTAAGGGGCCTGGAAAATTCGGATGTTCATTTTGTTTTCCCTTCTATAAAATGAATTGGCTGGAAACGAACTACTGGGAGAAGAGAGCCAGCAGGGTACAGTGGTTAACGTGTCAGCCTCAGACCCAGGTTCGAATCCGCATTCTGCCATGGAATCTTGCTGGGGGACCTCGGGCCAGTCACACACTCCCAGGCTAACCTACCTCACAGGGTTGTTGTGAGGATAAAATGGGGGGAAACAACGGAAGCCACTCTGAGTCCCCAGAGGGGAGAAAGGTAACATCGAAATAAACAGATTCAGGTGGGTAGCCATGTTGGTCTGAAGGACCGAACGAAGTTGGAGTCCAGGGGCACCTTTAAGACTCACAAAGTTTAATTCTGGGCCTATGCTTTTCTGTGCATGCACACGTCTTCAGGTATCTGGAGTATATAGCTGAAGATATCAGGTAGCTGAAGCAGTGTTCCCTCTAAGCTGAGTTAGTGTGAGGCAGCTCACAGGTTTTTAGCCTCCAGCTCACAGGTTTTTAGCCTTCACTCAGGAAGGAGGGCTCCAGAGCGAACTAATTTATGCAGTATAGCCAAATCGCTCGCTCACCACTTTAATGCCAGGCACTCACAAAGTAGAATTTTTGCTCACAAGACTCCACCGCTTAGAGGGAGCATTTATCTGAAGTGCGTGCACGCAAAAGCTTATACCCAGAATTAAACTTTGTTGGTCTTAAAGGTGCCCCTGGACTCAAGCTCTGTTCTATGTAAATAAGCAGCTATTATTTTTTTTAGTAAAGGTAAAGGTTCCTTTACTCGAAAGCCAGTCGAATCCGACTCTAGGGTTGCGGTGCTCATCTCCATTTTAAAGCCGAAGAGCCAGCGCTGTCCAAAGACGTTTCCGTGGTCATGTGGCTGGCATGACTAAACACCAAGGCGCACTGAACGCTGTTCCCTTCCCACTGAAGCAGTACCTATTTATCTACTTGCAATTCCTTGCTTTCAAACTGCTAGGTTGGCAGGAGCTGGAACTAGAGACGGGAGCTCACTCCGTCATGCGGCACACTCGGGTCTCGAACTGTTGAACTACCGACCCTCCACAGCCTGCAGTTCAGCGTCTTAACCACTTGAGCCACCGCAGCTCCCTTATTTTTTTATTTTTTGTACGTCTGCATAAATAATAGTTCCCGTGCACGATTCTTTGCCTGATGTCTCTAAGCCTGGGCACACTCTAAGGCAGCCCCGTAGCTAGGGACTTTTTTGGGAGGGGGCCATGGGGGGGGGGCGGCAGCTAATTTAATCAAGAGTTCCAGGTAACACTCCGGCAGTGGTAGCAGGCCACGTACTCAGCCACGGCTGTACACCCTTTCAAGTAGACTGACCCAGATGGCACCCACTAGCCTGATCTTATTGGATCTCAGAAGTGAAGAAGAAGAAGAAGAGATTGGATTTATCCCCCGCCCTTCACTATCTGAAGGAGTCTCAGAGCGGCTTACAAACTCCTTTCCCTTCCCCTCCCCACAACAGGCACCCTGTGAGGTAGGCGGGGCTGAGAAGAGAGCTCTTTCAAGGACTGCCCTTGAGAGAACAGCTCTGAAAGAACTTATGACTTTTCCAAGGTCATCCAGCAGCAGCATGTGGAGGAGTGGAGAATCAAACCCGGTTCTCCCAGATTAGAGTCTGCGCACTTAACCACTACACCAGGATCAGGCCTGCTTAGTACTTCAATGGAAGGCCACGAAGGAGGAGGAGGAGGAAGAAGAGATTGGATTTATCCCCCGCCCTTCACTACCCGAAGGAGTCTCAGAGCAGCTTACAAACTCCTTTCCCTTCCCTTCCCCACAACAGACACCCTGCGAGGTAGGTGGGGCTGAAAAGAGAGCTCTTTCAAGGACTGCCCTTGAGAGAACACCTCTGAAAGAACTTATGACTTGCCCAAGGTCATCCAGCAGCTGCATGTGGAGGTGTGGGGAATCAAACCCGGTTCTCCCAGCTTAGAGTCTGCGCTCCTAACCACGACACCAAGGTGGCTCTCCTAGAAAGGCTACCCAAATGCCCTGAGCATCCAGGCTAGGCCAATCTCGGAAGATCTCATAAGCTGAGCAGGGTCAGCCCTGGCTGGTACTCGGATTGGAGACCCACCAAGGAAGTCCAGGGTTGCTCTGCAGAGGAAGGCAATGGCAGACCACCTCTGCTCATAGTCTCTTACCCGGAACATTTATTTATGTATGTTATTTGCAGCCTGCCTTTCTCGCTTGGACTTAAGGTGGAATACGCAGAGTGAATCAGGACAATCAACGGAGCCACAGGGCTGCCGTCCATCACCTCTGACTTCATTGTATGGACAAAACACTGCCAGTCCAGTGTCCCCTCTGAGCTGAGTTAGTGTGAGCTAGGTCACAGTTTTTTAGTCTCCGGCTCACACATTTTTGTCTTCGCTCAGGAAGGATGTGGCTCCAGAGCAATCCGATTTATGCAGCAGCCAAATCGCTCGCTCACAACTTTAATGCCAGCAGCTCACAAAGTAGAATTCTTGCTCACAAGGCTCCGCAGCTTAGAGGGAGCATTGAGTCTGCCACTGTAACAATTTGCACTAAAGATTTTTTAAAAAATAAATCTAATTCACATAAACCATTTTTTTTAAAGCCGTTTGTTATTATGCATTACAGTCTTCTATAGTTTTCAATTAACACAATCATTTAACAATTAATCATCCATTTCCACAAACATCAAAGTGTAATACACCCGTACAAGATGAAAACCAATACACCCAGAGGCGTTAGCCGTGTTAGTCGCTGCAAAATAGTGAAAAGTCCAGTAGCACCTTTACGACTAACAAACTTTACTGTAGCATAAGCTTTCGAGAAACACAGATCTCTTCGTCAGGCGCTCGGCATTTCTCGAAAGCTTATGCTACAATAAAGTTTATTAGTCTTACGCCCCGGTCACACGGAGGATTTGCCATGGAAGAGGCAAAAATGTCGGGCGGAGTATACGGGTGCAATCACAAGGACATGTCTGGCAAGCGTAGCACACCCATCGCCGACCCATAACATCCGCCCAAAGATCCGGAGTTAAAAAATACCCGGGAGAGCCTACAAGCAAACGGTTTGCTACGGGCCGTCGACGGAACACCTATGTGTGATCGCTCAAGTGCGCTCCTCTCACCGTGTTGACGCCCGCCAGAAACATGCGCCAACAAACAAAACCCTGATTTGCTGCTGCGGCGTCTGATCGCGTTCTGGCACATTAAATTGCGGTGGTGCAAAAAGCCCCCCCCCCCCCCGCGTTATTTGGCCCGTGTGACTGGGGCCTTAAAGATGCTACTGGGCTTTTTACTACTATGCAGCAGAAGAAAAGCTCATCACACGAATACCCCAGGCATACGGTCACTCGTTTCGAATATCTTCTTCAGTGATGCTAACAGCAATGCATCGCAACTCATAAGTAGTATATTCTGCAAGCTTCTTGTAATTCCACGATAGAAAATAGCCACTTGCCACCAATATCTTTTCAACAATTTGTGTTGCTTTTAAATCTGGGCACCACTACACAGCTGCAGGTCGAGGCAACGACACACCACATCTGTCCGTCTCTCGCCTAGAGTACCCGACAGGGTCACCATAAATCATCTGCAAGCTGACTGCACCGTCCACTGTCCACCACCACCCCTTCAAAGTGCATAGTAACATAAGGTCCACAGCGAAATGCAAAAATTTTTGAAATGTTCCTTTAAAAAAGCACCAGAAATTCTGCTCTTAGGACTTAGAATGGAAGAGCTGAATGTAACTAAAAAGACCATGTTATGGTATATGATCACGACTGCAAGAATGGTGTATGCAGTGTTGGAAACAAGAAAGAACACCAGAAATAGAAGAATGGATACGAAAAATTCTGTTCATGGCAGAGATGGACAAAATTACGAAGAAACTGAATAACAGGGAAGATCTTGACTTTTTTGAAGAATGGAATGACTTTAAACTTTACCTAGAAAAAAACTGGGATGTGAAGCACAATTTACTATGTTTAGAACAATATTGAGATTAATTGATGTTATCTTAAGATGTACTGGAGGGTCAAAGGGGGAAACATTGCGGGAAGCCACCAGGAGGGAGGGAGGATATGGGAATATAGGTATTGGTTTAAGAATGATAATAGTTTTTTTTTAACTGTAAGAGGTTATTTCCATGAAAATAAAAAATTCTTTTACCCCCCCCAAAAAAAGTGCATAGTAACAGGATGGCCATTATAGCATTGGGGAGCGTAAAAGCGAAAGGCCTTGCAGGATCAGACCCAAGGTC